TTTGGGTTATCACATCTTTAACGATTTGATAATAAAGCAAGAAATTAAAAACAATCAGACAGGGTAACATATCTGTTTTCGTTTACCAGTTGTCAAAACCGCCTGCTGATGGGCTGCCATATTTTCCAATGTCGAAGTACAGACAAAACCCCTAATAAGTAATTTAATTTTGTGTAACTTTGTTTTATTATCCCCATTAAATCCAAAATGTATATATAAGTGCGGCTTCATTCCGAAATATTTTCTCAATTATAATTGAACAGTAGTGTAATCTTTCTTGAAACATTCCAATTTGACGTACAAATGTATGTGCTTCAGAATTTAGATAGATTAATATTTTTAGCATCTGGCAGCACAGGACTCGTCTTTCACGTTCAGCTCGCGAGGAAAGTGAAAATTTTAAAGAACTTACGAAAAAACCAAAATTGCGAGTGGTTTTAATCGAAAAATTTTATGTAACTGGTTTAGGGATTAGCAAAGCATATATTTTATAGTTAGCTGACATGTGGGAATAGAATCTGTAAGAGCTTCGATATATAAAGGGTTTGTTCTGGTGGAAGTCAGCCGAAAGAAAGGCAAGGCAGGGGATAGACATTAGCAATAAAGGTGAAGAAGGCAGTGGCAGAGACGGGTGACTTCGCAAACTCAGTACTGAGCCAGTCATACAAGAAGACGACTAGGAAGTGGAAGTTGTGAAGGCTGTAGCCAACAGATTTTTACACAGGGTCGTCGACTTGAAATCTTTGAGGTAATGGTTTTTGCGGTCTCATTGAAAAGTACAAAATTTCTTGCCCTTACACCCCCTATAGGCTAGGCAAAGAACAAGTGATCAAAGCAGGAAGTGTCAAACTCGTGCTGGGGCGATTGGCGACACGAAGCGGTCTGAAAAATTGAGCAACAACAAATAGCAAGCAAGGACAGAACAAAGAAACTATTCGACCACATTGGCTATTCAATAGCCAAGTAACTTGGATCGCACACGTAAAATCTTGGCCTTTCAAAGCAATGGAAGATACTGGAAGTGCCATTGTTGAAGAACAAAAACTTGCGGCTTCGCAAAAGTCGAAGAAAAGGCAAAGGAATAAAAAGGCAAATGGTAAGGGCTCCGCTGGCTGTTCTCAAAGTGAAAACTTACCTGAAGTTGCAGGCAACGTTAGTAGCGAAGCCTTGATCGCAGCCAATGGAATTACGGAAAAATTAGAACAACAGTTACACATTGCCGGCGATGGAATTCAAATGAATGGCGTGAAGGAGAAATGCATCAGATCAGTTGATAGCCATGCTGTTCAAAACGGGCATCACACAACCGCAAGCGATAACACGAATAGCACAGTGGCTGCGCAAAACACGCAGGCCGCACAGCATAAGTCATCACCCGAAAGTCCAGAGTGTGGAGCTTTGAAAAAATCAAAGAGTAAAAACACTAATCGAAATAATTTAGAAAATGAAAGTGATGCGGCATACCCAACCAGCGATGAGCCATCATCAGCAGTAATTTCAAGGCCTACGGAAGCTGTGAACAATGGAGCGGAAGTAGCTAAAGCGCAGTTGAAAAACGGTTTCCACGGTTGCATTAATGAACAAAGTAATGAATTGCGTTGCGAAGAGTCACAGCAACAGTGTTCATCAATTGCGATTCAAAAGCAATCTGAGCTGACACAAGCACTGATCAAAACCGATGTGTTAACTTCGTCTGCAGTTTCGAGGGCGTTAGAGCAAAAAGCTGCAGTTTCAGCGTCAGACACCTGCCCAAAACAGGAACAATTGTTGGCGACTATAGCGCCACTCAATAACGCTACAAAGGCTAACACAAACACTGCAATACACAATTCAAATAGCACTGCCAATCAGGATGAAGAAAATGCACAGCAAGCTATTACTATCCATAAAACTAATACTGAGAAAGAGTCGGTAGAAGAGCCATCCCTAACTGGAGTGGATACAGCACCCGCATTAGATTTGAGTAATGTACATATTGAGTATAAGGAATATGAATCGGAGCTGCAAATGCATGTGAGTTGGTATACAATTTGACGTCTTGTACCATAAAATAGTGCTGCATGCATTAATTAACTTTATCTAATTTTGTCTATAGGACATAATGCGTTTGATACAGGCTGAATTGTCGGAGCCTTACTCCATTTACACCTATAGGTACTTCATATACAATTGGCCGAAATTATGTTTCTTGGCAGCGCATGGTAATGAGTATGTTGGTGCCATAGTATGCAAACTGGACATGCATATGAATGTTAGGCGTGGCTACATAGCTATGCTGGCGGTGCGCAAGGAATATAGGAAACTTAAAATCGGCACAACACTGGTGCAAAAGGCAATTGAGGTACACACAATAATCTTGCTGAGTTTTTTGCTCTACTACAATAAATATAATTCTTCTATTTTGCAGGCCATGCTCGCTGACAATGCCGACGAAGTTGTGCTGGAGACCGAAATGCGTAATGTACCCGCGTTGCGTTTATATGAGAACTTGGGCTTTGTTCGTGATAAACGCTTGTTTCGTTACTATTTAAATGGTGTCGATGCGTTGCGTTTAAAATTATGGTTTAGATGAGATTGTGTTTAGTTGAAAATTCATTGCCACATTGCATGCACACATTATAAATATTTTTATTATATTATAATAAGTCTTATGCAAAGCAATTTCGGTTGAGACGTTATTTTTCTCGTTTACATGGACATTTTGATGCTAATTAAAAAACGAAAAAACCGACCAAAAAGGACTAAAACCAAAACAAATTACGAATAACGGATGAACAAAAGTAAATACATGCTGTTTTAGATTGTTTGATTTCTTTTTTACTTTTAATTATGGCTTATAAGCAACAAAGGGCTAATGGAAATGCGAAGACTCTGCCGATTTCTCAACTTTCTTGTGTACTATAAGTACAATTCTCTTAAACTGATTGAATTTGTAATGTTGTTTACTAACTAGCACTGGATGAAGTTTTTTGTTCCATAACAAATTTCGCGATGTACCTTTAATTTTGGGTTTTCTTAGTCTCTTAAGTCTTATAGCGAGGTTAAAATAATAAAAAAAAGAATTGTAAGACAAATTAGACTTGTTTGTTTTTGTTGTACGATCACAAGGAAGTAGATTTTCGAACTAGATTACGAATTTGTTGTGTAAGAAACTTAAAATTATTGTTTGCGCCTAATTTTTAAATTACAATTTTTACAAACCAGTTAATAACACCTCATCGCATAACAACAGTTATATAAGTTCTTAATGATTTATAAATATTTTCCTACATACAAAATTTTACTCAACCAAACACTGCAATACCGTTTTGTTTAAAAGAAAATGCTCTGTTTAACACATGGATACTTAAACAATTGTAAATAAAAACATACTGAATCAATCGAACTTTACGATTTTTTCTCGCAATAATATTATGAACACTTTAATTAGCTTAACTTTTCCGCAATTTATAAGAAAAATAAACACTATAAGGTTATATAAATATAAATGAAATAAGAAAAAAATATCGAGCTCGTCGTTTGTACATAATTAATTTTTGACTAATGAGCTATATTTTTAAACGAAATATACTTTTAGGCGTGCATTTTGTATCACTGCAAGAAAGCACTTCGCAGTACTTTCTAAAAATTTTTAATGTCACTTTGTATAACAAGAAAACATATCGTCGTTTAAAGTACAAAACCGCGTATCAACAAAATGCAAAGCCGCGTATCAAGTTTATGTAAAACCGCGTATGTGAGGTTGCATAAATTATTTTCTAGTGAGTAAGAGTACTCATATTTCAAAATGGTTCTCTTTTTTATAAAGCGCTCGCATTTCTGGATAGTATATATCAGGACGAATGGATGAGGATTGAGCCAAGAGCTTGTGTGAGCAAATCCAATTTTTGGCAGCAAATATCAGTTGCGCGCTTTTGCAAAATGACGATACGCGCTTTTGTACTTTAAACGACGATATGCATATGCAAATAGAAGTAAAATTTTATGCTAACAAAAACAAAAGCAATTCAAAACTGTGTAAAAAAAATAAGTTTAATTTGTATTAAAAGGTCTAGTTATGTTTTAGGAGTAAATTAAAGATACATATATGTATTTGGTAAGAAAAATCTTAAAACAAAAAAAGAAAATTTGAAGCAAATAAATAATGTGTCTATTATACGTATGTATATGTGCATATGTATGTATATGTATGTACATATGTACATGCATACATGCATACATAGAATAAGACAAAACTCACGCAACCAGTGCTGTTGAAAGAAAAAAAAATAAAAAAATAATGTCCAAAACGCGCCTTTTGCAACAGTTTTGTATGTGTAGTTAAAAACGAAGACAAATCGAGATATACAAAAGTATCAAATACATACCTGCAAACTGTAATTTCCCAATATGCACTTGCAAGCTGATAAGGTTATGTTCATAACCTCAATATTGTCTTCTGTTTCCTTTTATAATTTCTTCCGCTTCCGATTATCCATCTATTTCGTGTTTATCGATAACTAACACTGTTCTATTCATCGATCACCAAATTCTGTATATACACCCAACATTTGACGGCCATTTTGTAAGAAGTTAATTAGTTTGGCAAATCTCGGTAGTTGAAAATATGTGCTTCTTGATAAAAGTGTATTTATTAATTAAGTGGTAAAATTAACTTGGGCTTTTATGCAAATAAGTGATTGCTAACGTTGCATAGTAGTTATAGTGGCACCTGAGTTGAAACGTTTGTATTTATCAAACAGAATCGGTTATTTGCATAAATTTGCGTAAGTGTTTGCGAAAAAAGTCAAGACTTTGCTGTGCACATATGTATGTATGTTGGGACTTACTGCATATGTATGTACGTATGTACATACAACATATAATAAAAGTAATAGCAATTCACCTTCAATGCAGACTTACGCTGAAATTTTATGAAAATTGTGAAGCAAATTGGAGCCATCATAAGAACGGCATACTTTTAGGGGCTGCATTTGCGTTCAATCAAACACCGCCATTTTAATATAACTGACTCAGTAAGTGCCGTGTTCTCAAGTAGGTTTTAAAAGTTATCTTACAACAAATTTTAAAATCCCACTTGAGAAAACGGGTCTAAGTGTAAAGGACATTCTAACAGTCATGCAAAAGGAGACTTTGAAGATGCGGCGCAAAATTAAATGATTTAAGATCGCCCTATCTCGACCGCCGGTTCGAAAACGCTCGTATCTCAGCAAAAGGTGTAAAGCGCCCTATTTCAGAATTCATGATTGAAGAATGCCCTATCACAGAACTTGGTTTAAAAACGCCCAATCTTCATATAAATTCTATATATCAACAGCTGAGATGGGGCGTTTTGGAATCATTTGCTAAGACAGGGCGTTCTTCAACCAAATTCTGAAATAGGGCGTTTTCGAGACACGGAATTTTCAAACCGGTAGCCGATATAGGGCGATCTTCCACTCAGTCGTCGATATGTAAATGAAATCTTAATTTTATAGCAATGTAATATAAGTTGAACGTAGGAAATACAACTAAAAGTGCAATTCAATGCAGTAAATCGTTTAAAAATCCCCCAAAAAATATAACATAATTACATAAAAATCATGCGTGTGTACATATACATACAACTACATATAACCACATAATTGACACCACTACAATACTTAATCCATACATATGTACACCAATGAGCTACATAAACACATACCGCAATAAATGTGAGAAGAGATATGTTGACGATGAAAATAATTCAAGCAATGATTATAAGAATTAAATTAATGAAAACCTGTTAGAAAATGCAATTATTGATTGGATGCAGGTGAGTTGAAATTTTTCTTTATACATTTTACTTTATTAACATCAGTCAATACAAATGCATAACGATTTGATTTAAATATTTCCTATAGATGCTGCGACATAATAGAAGTATGTAAAATAATTAGCGCAAATCGGCATCCGATTTTGTAAGTGTAAAATCAAAATTACTTTACAGTAGAGTATTGTTACTGTAACTTATCCAATTCATAACCGTTTATATTGTTGAATCTTGGCGCCGGGTTTTCTATACTATGCGTCCTCGGGCCACAAAAGTCAGTGGCTTGATTGGTGACATATTTCTTGGACTCGGCAGTTTAGTTACTGGTTGCGCGAGTTACACACATTGCTAGACACAGCTAGATTGTATGAAGAAGCCATTGATTTGTTTATGACGGGTGCTTATGTTGTAGTTTTTGTAGCGGCTATTAAACCCAGCTCGTTGCCGTTTGGCTCAGGTAAAGGGCGGCCCTGGAAGTGCGCAACTTCAATAGGGTCTGTCCATAGGGACAGGGGCGTTAGCTGGGTGGGTTTCGGTGGCATGCAAAGAGGTGCCGTGAGCCATGTGGCGACTCTTCGCATGCCGGCTACTCGTTGGGCACATCTTCATTCACTCTGCTCAGGTACGACTTGAACCTGCTGCTTATTGTAAGGGCCAGTTTTTCAGTGTCAGTTTAAACTTATATCATGTAAAGTGCATTTTAATTAAACAGCTAATCTTGGTTTAAACCAGCAAACTAAGTTTAAACCACGTTCGGATTTAACCGTGCACTGAAAAACTGGCCCTTAAGGCGGATTGATAGTTTTGTCTGTTGGAATAATGCTCTTAATAAAGTGGCAGTTTCACTGAATCAAAGTGGGCCTTTAATTACATCTGATTTTCGAGTTGTGCCTCTTTTGAAGACGGTGTGCGACATGTATGTCCATATGCATGAACCACAACAAAACAAATCCCATCCATCACCTGTAAACAGATGTTTTTAGTTGTATACCGCTGTTATCGATAATTACCCAAAGTGGAAGTGGCAGACATTTCAGCGGATATACATTGCGGATACACATTGCAGTTATCGTTCAATGCTCGTACAGGAAACAGTAATCGATAAACTAAGTGAAGTGGCTATTTGAACGCCCTTTTTGCCATCGTTACCATCAAACGTGCCCTGTCATACATATGTACAAATAAGATGAAGATAAAAGAAAAGTTAAATTGGTGCATGCATAAAGTGAAATATTAACTGAATTAATGTGGGTCGTTTTATTGGAAGTTTTTCAAACTAATTTGTGTGTTAGAAAAAATATGTGTGTTTAATACACAAAAATAAATGCGCTGTAAGCAAGAAGCATTCATCTGTGCGTGACATTTGCCAAATAACGGAAGTGTCTGCTAGTATAAAACGCAACAAATAGATATATTTCACTTGTATTATCTGGGTGTTGATTTTTTTTTATAAAAAAAATACCAAATCAGGGAAAAACGCGCACTAACCTGAATTTGAATTTCATCGTAAACTTTGAGGAAATGCATAGTCATGCCGCTATACGTATTACCCTACATATGAACGAGTATATGTATGTACTACTTTGCACAAGCACTTCCTACCAATCAGCAAAGGTGGCCCGTGCGTGATTTGCAACATAATTTGCATGCGTGCATATACATATGTATACATATGTATGTATGTACAAACCATATGTGCATGCGTGTGTACTACAGGTGTATAAGCCAACGGCTGGACGTGTAACCCCAGCATTTCTGCATTTGTACATACCTCCATATTTTTGCTTTTACCGACGTGTTCAAAGCATCTTATTTGGAAAGCATCTTTGTGGAAATAAGTTAATAAAAAATGCATTGGCAATAGAAATGTATTTCTATGCATATGCAAATTTTTGTTTTGATATTTGTGCCGTGTAGAAAATATTTGCTTATTTTACTTTTATCTTGTGTTTACGGGTATTCCTACCAGCAGCTCTGGAGCTGGAATTGCCTTAATTACTTGTGCTCGTCTTAAATTAATGCAATTTGTGATGTGTGTATATGAATACAAACATGTATACATGCATATGTATGTATGTACATATAAGATAACTAGCTAAAACAAAAATTTGCTGCAGTTTTATGCTGCTACTATTATTATTATTATGCTGCAATTAGAGACGACTTAAATTTATTTAAACATTTTGAAGCCTTATAAATTGTATATACATACATAGTTTTTTTTCCTTATCTTGCAAAAACATTTTTTTCTAGGGCAATTATACTGATACGCCTATGTGAAAA